CATTTTATAGAGAGATAGTATGAATACAATAAAACAGTGTGATATTAAATGACTAAATATGTATGCACATGGGGTACCCTACAGTCTTTTTGAAAAGTGTTAAAGTCATCTTCCCTGTCAATATGACTGGATGTGGGATCACCAGGAGACTAGATTCTGGTGTGTCTGTGAGGATGTTGCCAAAGAGGTTTTGACTTAGGAGGGAAAACCCATTCACCATGTGCGTGGTACTATTCCATGGCCTGGGCTCCCAGCCTGAATGAAGAAGGATAAAGGCAGTCGAGCATCAGTATTCGTCTTTCCCAGCTTCGTGACCATGGCCCCAACATCACCAGCGGTCTCACACTCCTGTCTTCACAGCTAGAGCCACTCTCACACACACGCCTTCTGCATCATGACACACTGTAGCACCTCAAACTGCAAGCCAAAATAAATTCCTCCTCCTTTCAGTTGCTTCTGTCAGGTATATTATTGTCACAGCTGTTGGGAACCAACATTTCTTAAAAAAAAGAAAGTAACACCTGAAGCCAGGACTTATGCAGAAGGAGCCAGCATGGGACAGTCTGTGGCTCCCAAGGTCCCTGTCACTTTGGTAGCTATGGAAGACCACAAGCATGGCTTGAGGTAACGAAACATGCAGTCTTCATGACTGTCCCCACCAGCCAACAAATCTACTACATTTCAAATAATTAAAATATAACCTCTCTGCTCCTCTGTGGTAGCCATAGGTTGAGTGTTCAATATCCCTGTCTAGTATGGTGGACAGCACAGAGTCCACTTTTGTGAATGAGAACATTGTAAAAGTTGGGACTAGCAAAGTGGGGATACTAGAACAGCAAGAGGTCATAGAGCAGCAGGAAAGATCTTGGAGGACTTTATAGGTTGTCTTGGGATCTTTGGAGTCTGCAGTACAGTGAGGAGCCTTGCATGGTTTTAAGAGGGTATGCACAATCATTCAATTTACATATTTGAACTATCATTTGTAGCCGGAAGGTTTCTTGGGTCCCTCCTGGCCCCCCACAGACCCGCAGCCACTTATAAAATAATTATTCAGAAGCTTATATTAATTATAACTGCTTGGCCATTAGCTTAGGCTTATTACTAACTAGCTCTTACACTTAAATTAACCCATAATTCTTATCTATGTTTAGCCATGTGGCTTGGTACCTTTTCTCAGTTCTGCCTTGACATCTTGCTTCCTCTGTGTCTGGCTGGTGACTCCTGACTCAGCTCTTCCTCCTCCCAGAATTCTCATCAGTTTACTCCGCCTACTGCCTATACTTCCTGTCTGGCTACTGGCCAATCAGCTTTTTATTTATCAACCAATCAGAGCAACACAGTGTACAGAAAGACATCCCACAGCAATCATTCTACTTCATAGAAAATGAGTTATAAAGGGAGGCAAGATCAGTTAGTTATTGCAACTGTTTTACCTGAAGATGGTAATGGACCTTTGTTTTGGTTATTGTAAAAGGGATGCGAAAAATGAAAAAATGAAGATAGTCAGGTCATCTTTTAGAGATGGAAACAAGTGCTCTTGTTAATAGACTGGAAGGATAGCAAGCTAATCAAGGAAGATTTGAGGGCAATGTACCTTCTGTGGATCCAGGCAGCTGGGTAGATGGCATTGCTTTTTCCAGAGACAAGAGGAAATTGAGGAGAAAGTGAGTATGTTGTTGGAAGAGTGGAGAGAGGGAGCTGGATTCTAAGACACTTCCTATTTTAGGTACTCAGTATTAACTCATTGTTAACATGGAGGTCAGAGCAGCAGTAAAGAATACCTAGGAGTAAAAACTTTAAAAAAACATTACAGGAGAGTCTTCTTAAGTGAAACTATATTTGCAAAGTGCAAAGGATTTTCACAAAGAACTAATCAAACCACACTGGCCAACGGGAGGATTTTCTCCAGCTAGACTGGACAGGACATTATCTTATGTGTGGACAATCTTTTATCTTGTTTGTTGGTTGTGTGGCCACTTTCCTGAATCAGGACTGATCACTACCTGTTTCAAAGGGCTGTGTCTATGTGAGGCTGTTTCAAATGTGTTTTATACACCATGGCTGTGGCCTTGCACTTAACTCACTGTATTGCTAATTGTTCGTCGATATTCGCCTCCCTGTCTGTCCCTGCAGCTTTCTGTCTGTCTCTAACAAAAGCATCTGAATGCTTTCATCACCTTCCTTGTTCTGGATGGTAATAGGCAGAAAAATGGACCCCTTTTCCTTTCAGTGGGACAGCTAACTTTCTGATTGTGATTTTTGTGAAAAATAGGGTAAAAGCCAGGTGCCAGGGCATTGTTCCTTTTATATTATTGACCAGCTCTAAGATGCCATCAACACATAGACTGAGTGATGTTTTGCCACTGTTAGTGAATGACAAGTGTTTTACTATGACACTTCATCACTATTACTAATTATTACTGTTTGAAAGAGCTGTGCATATGTGGCCCTTCATCTGCCTTGTGCATGTGTAGCGATCAGAGACAACTTTGTGGAGTTGAGTCTTTCTTTCCACCTTTATGAAGTTCCTAGGATTGAGTTCAAGTCACTGGGGCTTTGCACAGCAAGTGTTGCTACCTGCTTAGATCTTACCAGTCTGTGCATGACAGCTTTTAAACAATGTTCACTGTCAATCTTGTAAGAGTTCTGTTTTGATGATCATATGCCATTATTTTTTTCCTGAAAAAAACTAAGATGTGTGTGGAGGTAGAAGACAGAGAAAATGGAAACATTCTTTCATCCCCCCACTTAGAGTTTTTTCTTTCTAAATTCAACAACTTACTCCCAGTTTTTTTATATTATTATTATTATTATTATTGTTATTTGATGTGCTTTCCCTATGTCAAGAGGCAGCACATCTTTCCTTTTCAAGTGTCCCAGGTAGTCTCTGGCACATGAATCATGGGTAAAATGGGAACTTGTGGGAGGGTGTGTGCAGGCTTGGGGGGATCATTTGTCTTTGGCAAAGGCATTGCTACTCCTGTGTTTTTTGGTAGCAGATGGTACTGCTGCCACTGACTAGCTGCCCAATGCATGCTCCTGGGCAGTGGCACAGTTCTGGACATGTGACAAAGAGAGTTGGCTGCCTGGTCACACCCCCTTCTGTTCATTTATGCCTAATGCTTTGTGAATGCCCAGCTGGGACTGCAGTAAGCTGTTTCCCATAAAAAGAAATCTACAACTTAAGCCACGTTTTCCCATTGCTCCCATGAATCCATTTTATTTCATCCGTCTCCTCTTGGCATATTTTATTGCTTCATCTCTATACACAAAACACAGTGGCATTTTGAGCCAATTACCCAAGTACTCCAGGCTATAAACACACTTTAACCTGGAGCACCAAGATAATTGAGACAAAATTAGCTGATTATTATTTGTGAGAGTCAAATGACACCTAGACAGCCTGAACAAGAGTGGATGTTTTTCACTCCAGAACACTGCAGCATCATTTTGAATCTGCTCAACAGATTGAGAATTCTTTCTCATAAACTGCCAAAAAAGTTAACATGGTTTTTCAAATGCCACATACTGTGGTATATGACCATGTAATCATTAATAATAGTGGGGCTTTGTTCATTGTGAGTGTGTTTCACTAATGGGGCTTCCTGGCTCAGCAATCATTCTTAAAGGAAGCTCAGCACATAGTGTAATTTTGCCACACACAATCAGCAACTGTTGACTAATGATACTTCTGCACTGGAGTTGGGGGTATGCTTTTTTTTTTTTTTGTCCTTTTCAGTATTCCATATGTATCCCAGGCTGGCTTCTACATCACAGCATTTTTCCTGTCTCAGCACTCTAGATCTTGGAATTGCATGTGCCACTGCTCCTAAATGGATTTTTAAAATTACTCAAAAAAATTTTTTAAGTTATGTGTGAATGAGCATGTGTGAGTGCAGGTGGCTGTGGAGTCCAGAAGAGGGCATAGGATCCCCTGGAGCTGGAGTTAAATCCACATGTGGGTGCTGGGAACTCCTTGGGTTCTCTGAAAGAGCAGTAGAGGCTATTAATTGTTGAGCTCTCTCTCCATCCCTTAATAATCTTTTATTTCCTTTTCTGTATTTGTTTCCTGCCTGTATCTTTTTTTCTTAAAAGCCCATGTGCACTAGATAACTCTGAGACTGTTCTACTTGAAAGAACAAGACAGGCATGTTTGGTCCTCAAGATGGCTTGATGCTAGCAGGTCATGTGTTTGCCACTAAGCCTAAAGACCTTAGTTCCGTCCTTCAGACCCTGGAAAGATGACTCCCACAAACTGTCCTGTGATCTCTCTCTCACACACACACACTCACACTGGCACACAACATAAATAATTAAAATGCAACTTTGAAAGATGGGCATGGCTTCTCTGTTGCAAACAGACCCTTCGCCTGGAGCAGTCCAAGAACGAAAACGCCATTGAAATGGGTTCCAGCCTATTAAATCACTCAGACAGAAGACATGTCATTTTTTGATGACAGGAACAAGCATGCTGGATTTCACCCCTCAGAATCAGCCACAGACCCCATCCCTGGCTTGTCACAACACCCCTGCCTTTTAGCCGGGAGGGCCCATCTCTAGAAAAGGGGTGGTCCCTCCCTGAGCTGTGCCTCCCAGAGCTGTGCCTCCCATTCCTGAGCCTGCTCTCCTGGGGAGTTCCCTTAAAAGCCAGCGAGTGGAATTGTGGGCTCCTCCAGAAACCTCTTTAAGAGTTTTAAGCACTCAGCTCCACTCTTTTTCTCCCTGCAAAAACAGCAGCCACTGTGCATCAAAAAGAAAGAAAAATTATTTTTAAAGAATACTAAGATAACGGCCTCACTTTCCTCCTCTCCCATCCCCTTCCTCACCAGCTCCAGCTCTCCCTCTATCCTTGCTGCTGCAGCAGCTCTCAGGGGGTCTTTCCGGTGGAACTTAGCAACTTCTAGACTGTATCTCAGCTTCCCTTTCTATTTTTTTTTCCTTCTCCCCCTACTCTTTGGCATGAACTGGACACAGAGAGGCTGGGAGCCTCCGCTTCCTACCTCTCTGAAACGAAGTCTGTGTCCTGGGGCAGCGAGGGAAAGATGGGCCAAGGAGTGAGAAAGAGTGATAGAGGGAGAGATAAAGAGAGGAGAGGGAGAGATAGAGGGGGGAGGGGGAGAGAAAGGGGGAGGAGAGCGGGGAGAGGGGGAGAGGGAGAGGAAAGAAGGGAAGAAGGGAGGGATGGAGGGAAATAGGAGAGAGAGAGAGAGAGAGGAGAGAGAGAGAGAGAGAGAGAGAGAGAGAGAGAGAGAGAGAGAGAGAGAGAGAGAGAGAGAGATTGCTGCGGGGAGAGAAGAGAGGAAGGGGGAAGGGGAGGTCCGCCGCGGGCCAGCGCTCAGCAGCCGGGGATGTCCAGAGCTCTCCCTGCGACCCTGGCTGCTGGGGCATCAACAGTCCCTGAGCAACCTTTGTGTTGGGCAAGTGTTAAAATCCCGAAGTAGAAAGAGACCCCATAGGGTATAAACTCGGGCTGAGGGTGGAGCGAAGGATTTTTGAGAGAGAGAGAGAGAGAGAGAGAGAGAGAGAGAGAGAGAGAGAGAGAGAGAGGGAGGGAGGGAGGGAGGGAGGGAGGGAGGGAGGGAGGGAGGGAGGGAGGGAGAGAGAGAGAGAGAGAGAGAGAGAGAGAGAGAGAGAGAGAGAGAGAGAGAGAGAGAGAGAAAGTAAAGGAGGGGGGTGGGATCCAAGGCTTATCCTGCTAGCTGCAAACTTGAAGTCTTCAGCTCGCACTCCTGAGTTCTCCGCAACGCTGAAACTTCACATAGATCGGGAAGAAAGGATTCCGAGAGTGGGATCGAGAAGGGCGCGGGCGCACGGGTAGGACGGGTGGGGGTTGCCTGCAGAGCTCACAGCATGGCAGTGCCGGGTGAGGCCGCCCAAGACCTGGCCAAGCCGGGCCTCGGAAGGGCGAGTCCCGCCCAGGTGGCCAGCTGGGACCACCACGGTCGTGGCGCGTCCCTTCCATCCCCGCGGGGCTCGGGCTGCCGAGGTTGTTGGGGAGTCCAGGCGCTGCAGCCGCTAAGGCGCTCGCCGCAACTCTCCTCGGCGTTGTGCGCCGGCTCCCTGTCCGTGCTGCTGGCGCTGCTGGTGAGGCTGGTCGGCGGAGAAGTCGGAGGCAAGCTGGAGTCGAGTCAGGAGGCGGCGGCCGAGGAGGAGGAGGAGGAAGGAGCCCGAGGGGGCGTCTTCCCGGGCCCTCGGGGAGGTGCTCCCGGGGGCGGCGCGCAGCTCAGCCCTTGGCTGCAGCCGGCCGCGCTGCTCTTCAGTCTCCTGTGCGCCTTCTTCTGGATGGGCTTGTGCCTGCTGCGCGCCGGGGTGCGCCTGCCTCTGGCCATCGCGCTGTTGGCCGCCTGCTGCGCAGGGGAAGCGCTGGTGCAGCTCTCGCTGGGCGTGGGGGACGGTCGCCTGCTGTCGCTGCCCGCCGCGGGGGTCCTGCTCAGCTGCCTGGGTGGCGCGACATGGCTGGTGCTGAGGCTGAGGCTGGGCGTCCTCATGGTCGCCTTGACTAGCGCGCTCAGGACGGTGGCCCTGGTTTCCCTGGAGAGGTTCAAGGTCGCCTGGAGACCTTACCTGGCGTACTTGGCGGCCGTGTTGGGGCTGCTGCTGGCCAGGTACGCCGAGCAGATCCTGCCGCAGTGCTCCGGGCCGGCTCCGCCCAGGGAGCGGTTTAGGTCCCAGCTGAGCGCGAGGACCAAGGAAGAGATTCCGGGGTGGAAGAGGAGGAGGCGGTCCAGCTCCGTAGTGGCCGGCGAGATGTCTGGCTGCAGCGGCAAGTCGCACCGGAGGACCTCCCTGCCCTGCATACCCAGGGAGCAGGTAAGCTGGGGTGCGCCTTTGGGGAAACTCCGGGGAAACTTGAAACAGTGCTTGGAGTGGAGCGCAGGCGACCGGGAAGCCAGCCTGCCAAACAGTACAACTTTACACTTACTAAGAAAGTAGATTTTTTTTTTTTCCGCCCGTTCTCTATCTAGTGGAGTAGTTTACAACCAGAGCGACAGAAAACAGGAAAAAGTAACAAAATTAAGTAGCAGTGCTCAGGCTTCCACAGCTGGGGGCTGTTTTCAAATCCCCTACACCTGGTTTGTGAGTCCCTGCGCTTCGTGAAGCATTTCTAACCTCCCTAAATTTTCTGGATTAGTTTATTTACTTATTAGAAGTAAGTGGCTTCCAACACGTGTAATTTTCTATATTTCTGTGTCTTTTTAAAAATAACAAACTTTATTTCTTATTAGGTGCTAGGTAAACATTTATAAAAAGCCAGTCAGAGTTTCAGTAGCCAGGGAAGACAGCCTTGGCGGTGGGGCGCTGAAAGACGCGTCTGCTTCTGCAGCGCCGCGTCTGCTGGCCACAGGATGGTTTTATACTTCAGTTGTTACACATTAGTGTGTGTTGAACTCTGAACTTAGGTTTTACACTTGAGGGCTATGTGTGAACTTCAGAGTGGCGCTGGATTGGAGGCTCTGCTTTTATTGTTCACTCAGAAAAGTGACCTTTCTCAGGAGCATTTATAAGCCTAAGTGGAGAGAAATTCAAGTTACTTCCTCAGGGTTTGCAGGAAACATTAACCCAGACTTTCGAAGACTGGTTGCTAACGAAATGTATCTTTGAGGAAGGAGGAGGTGGGGAGTTGAATTCGGAGTGAATGTGTGTGTACCAGTTTAGGCGGTTCTTTTTTGGGGGGCGGGGAGGGGGTTGCAAATGTCTTTAGTGTCATGGAATAGTTACCCTGCGTGGTATAGGATGACCATTTCCAATTTATACACAAGTTGTACTTGAGAAGATTTTTTTTCGCCTCAGTTCTCTCCACCAGGTCTGATGCTTGATGAAAGGGATTGAGAAAGCTGATTCTGCACTCTAAATGGAAATTTACACTTCTGTTTAAATTAATGCCTACCCATGATCCTGTTAGGATAACTTTCAGCGTGAAAGGCTGTCCCTATGATAATAGCAAGCTTTTTATTTTTGGGGTTATTCTAGAGGTAATTGGTTAGGTATTCCTTAAAAACATCTGTCACCATATGGTGTGAGTGGTTGGTTTGCTTCTGAAATGGAGTTGACTACCCAGATGGATGGCTCTTTGACTTTATGTAGCATACTGGATGACAGCATCAAATGCTTGTTCTTACTTTAAAACAAATGTATGTATTTAACTTATTGTTTAGCCGAAACAAATATTTCTAGGTTTAAAGAGTAAAGGGAAAAATAGAGGCCACTGACTGATGGATGGTTAGTTGTGTAGAAATTTGGAGATCATTAGAATAAAGTAAGTTAAGTATGAATGGGTGCCAAAGAGAGAACTTTTTGAATGAAAACACGACTACCAAAAAAAAAAAAACATTGACAACACACTTCTCTTTAACTTAAAGGGAAATGTGATGTGGTCCTTGCCAACATTGAAGCCCAATTTACAGGAAAAATCTGGATTGAATCAGAAGTGATTTGACTCCACATTAATGTCACTTAGCCCTCAGAATTAAATTTCTGACATTTCGGATTAAGGGAGTTCAGAGTAGATTTGGGATCAGAAGGCCTTCAGGTGAACGGAGCAGCTTTGCTGATGAGCGTAGATTTGTATAGATTTCCTCTGCTTCACATTGATAAGTGAAGTACTGTAATGATCTTATAAAGGTCTCATTGAGCTTGGATTTTCAAAGGTTTTATTGATTAATTACTTGGAGAGTGCACACTTATCACCTGTCCTGGCCATTTTCTCTGGCAGTTGTTTTTGTTGATGAAGAATGCTCTAAAGCAAGCAACTCGGGGTGACAGGAAGCCGTGGTGGCCTGCAGCAGCAGCCTGGACCCTTGACGTTTTAATGAGGGCATGGGTGAAGGTGTGCTCACTGAAGGCTGGTTTTTATAGATGACCCATTAAAGCTATTGCTGAACACAATTGTGGGGACTGGGTGGGGCTGAGATGGGATAGTATCTTATGAGATAGGGTGAGGTGACAGATCATTCGTTGGCCGAACTCTGTGAAAAGGTTAGGAGCCATATAGTAAATGGCTTATCTTTTTTATCATGAGGAAGCAAACTTCTGATTAAGAGGGCAAAGGGTGTCATGATCATTTACATACTTGACGAAGTCCAGAGTGAAAAAAATTATGAAACGAACATCTACCATTCCCTGGTGCTGTCAGGTTAGTTCTTTTCTGAATAAGCTAACCAGTGAGTTTTAAACAGTACTGAGAGGCAGGCAGGACAGAGGCCTCCTAGGCATTGACTTAGCTATTGCTCATTGTGGAGTTTAAAACTGAGACAGGCCGGGCGGTGGTGGCGCACGCCTTTAATCCCAGCACTCGGGAGGCAGAGCCAGGCGGATCTCTGTGAGTTCGAGGCCAGCCTGGGCTACCAAGTGAGTTCCAGGAAAAGGTGCAAAGCTACACAGAGAAACCCTGTCTCGAAAAACAAAAACAAAAACAAAAACAAAAAAAAAAAAACCTGAGACAGTTGGAACACTTATCTTCTCTGTGTGGGTGACACTGACCACTGCTTGTGAAGTCTCTCTCATTGGTGGTCCTCCCTTTCTAAAGAGACACAGAAGAATATATGCTAAAATTCTTGTGAGACTCCTGCCTGCCTTCCTGCCATCCTCCCTTCCACCCTCCCCTGAAGTCTAAAATTGTAAAGTCTCTTGTCGAGATAGCCGTATGGGATTGAGTTTGTAAGTCAGATAATTTGTAGCATAGAAAGGAGAAGCAGGTCGGGCTTTTGGTCAGAGCGGGAGGCACCGGGTGTTTCTGAAGGGAACTGACAGTGTCTTCTGAGGAGGAACAAAGTTGACAGCATCTCTGTGGCTCAGTCTTGCCATCTCTGTATCCTCAAGACTGAGGCTGTGATTTTAGAGGAGTGTGCCAAGCTAAACTTTTTAGGTTGATGGCTTGGGAAGGCTGGGGTCTGCTAAGGTGTCTGTGTCGTCTGGAAGTGAATTCTCACATCTGACAGCGGCTATAACCTTGTCAGCTTGCTACTGCCCCCTGCCAACATCCAGTATGCAGAATGCCTAGCATTTATTGAATGAATTTGATTAATAAGTGCTATTTTCAGCATAAAGTTAGTTCTGCAGCTCTCAACCTCAGGAAAACACTCGAGGCATGCCTGTTCTCTATATACATCACAGAACACTATTGGACACTCACTTCTCTGTAATTACTGAATCCAGCATACCCATTAATTTCTAATGGATTCCAAATCAAATCTAATTTTATTTTAGTTACCTGTTAAGCATTTAATATTTTAAACATATGGTTTCATAGGAAAAAAATATAAGCTGCCCAGCTCTCACCATGAATGTCTTTGAGCCAAACTAATGACTAATTTCTTTGTGATAGACACAAAGGCAGTCAGAAATGTAGGAGATATGTGCTTTGTCTTACTAAAGTAAAAGCTACACTCTCCTGTGACTATTTGTCTAAGCACTCAGTTGAGAATCCTTAGCCTATGTGAATGTCCTTGCATTGGAATTTAAATTTGGTAGCAGAGAAGGGTCAAGTTGTTAATCACTGGGGTGAGAAAGACATTTTAAAGCCCTCCTGCAAACAATAAAAAAAGAAAGATAGGAAAATGATTTCTGTTGGTACTCACTGGATGGTGGGCATGTGGTGGGCTTTCTTATGCCATCGCTTAAAAACAAATAGAACTTGATAGTCTTTGCAGTACAGATATAAAGCACAGCAATACTTCTCAAATAATTTTGGAGACAGTTTTTAAAAATTATATTGTGTGTGTGTGTGTGTGTGTTTGTTGGGAGGACAACTTGCAGAACTTAGCCCTCCCTTCCACCATGTGGGTCCTAGGAATCTTTCTCTGTTAGGCTTGGTGGCAAGTGCCTTTACCCACTGAGCCACAATGCTGGTCCTGCAGGCAGTCTTGGTGGAACTTCAGCATTCAAAATGGCAAAAAAAAAAAAAAAAAAAAAAAAAAAAAAAAAATTAGTAGTGCTGGGAATTGAACCCAGGATCTCATGTGTGCCAGGTAAGTGCACTATCACAGAGTTTTACCCCATTTTTCTTAACATATAGAATGTTGTATACATTTCTAAATATATTTTGATATGTTTCTTATATTGAACACATTTAAGAAATATGGGATCTTAAATTGTGGCTTCTATCATATTTCAGTATTATTCCTCAGTTTATAGTGCTATAAACAGAAATATTGATTATGACTTGGTGACAGAATTAAAATTAATTTATGTCAACCTCTGAAAAATGGCAAACAAGGATTTCTGATCCTCCCGGGAAAGGTGGGAAAATGTTTTGTTTTCCTGTGATTTTTTTATTTTACTTTGTGAATACACATATTTAAAACATACCAAAGGACCATTTTAACCAACAGAAATAGTCAGAAAATCTATATAAATTTCCAGAGGTTGGAAGGAGTGAAAACAGTCACCTTCCTCTTTCTGTCTCGAGTCTAAAGTGTAAAAAGTTTAACTGTAGAACTGGAAGAAACAGTGTGTGCCGGGCTGTCATGTTAATTAAATAAACAACCAGAACAGTGACTCTGTGTATGAAATACATCTGGAAAACTCTGGGGGAGGGGACAGCAGGCCGGATGAGTGACACCAGCCTGAAAAACTTGCATTATATCTGTTGTGACATTTGTGTGAATTTGTTGTAATTCTGCTGAGATTCAGCTCTGAGAATCCTGTCTGCAGGCACCTGGGTACCCAAAGCCCTTTCCACACCAAACTTTCCATGTTGAAATCCTTCTCACAGGTTACACTGAGGTGGGGAGTTTATCAAGCCAATAAGCCCGCTTCTATTTTAAAATTCTTTCAATTACTATGGTTCGTGCTGGCCACAGCTTGCTAGA